CATGTTAACTCTTCAGGTCAGAATTTCCCAGAAATAACTCAGACAATAAATTGGATTAATTTCTCCCTACTTGTTTTGGGCTCTCTGCTGTCCTGACATCTTGGGAAGATTCTTGGGAATTTTTGAAGAATATTCTTAGAAAAACTAAATACTGGTAAATATTGATATAATGGAATATTGAAAATATTCTTGGAAAAAATATCATGGGAATATTCTGTTGAAGATAGTTTTCTTTAATTTGTGTTTTAACAGTTACAAACTTGTACAAACTCACAAGAGTTTTAATTGAGCCTTTAATTAATTTTAAGTACTCAAGAACTCAGCAATTGCTTTCATTTAGAGGTCTTTTTCTTTCATATATTTCCTAATGCAAATTTCTTCATGTTTGTTTAGGGCTAGTAATAATGATAGCAAGTCTGCCTCTGAGACTCCAAGCCAAACAAATATGTGGTTTTTTAGATCTTCCATCTCTCCGCATTTGCAAGGAATGTTGCTAAATCATGTTGATCCTTTGGTTCTGGACAATGGATAAACTACGGAATGTTTTTTCCATCCCCTCACATCTTCTTTGCTCTGCTTTCTACCTTTCTTGACTGACACTGTGTCTTTCATATCTTTATTTTAAACATTTTGCACTGAATTCCTCCAGGATATTCTTCACATTTGTTATCTGTTATTTGCCTTAACTGCAGTTGTCCCTGTAGTTGTTGCATATCTACTCATCTATTCTTTGACTCCCTTGGTCTGCTGCACTGACCAGAGTCCTAAGTACTTTCTATTTCTTTCAGTTCTCATTTTGTTCATATGGAGTGGTCAAATAACTCCTACATTTTTCATTCTTCTGTCGGGGTCACTGACCAGATGCAGACAATCAGCTTGTTCAGTGGCACCCACAGCATGAATCTCTAAAGCAACAGACAAACTGTGGTGCTCTGCAGCAGTGAGGAAGCATATTCTCTGTATTTCTTAAAATCTGATAATGGTGAGTTTCTCAGCAAACCAAAGTTTAATACTTGTTCTTTTTTCTGTAACGGTATCTTGGTAATGCAATGGTCATTCTGAGTCACTAGTGTATCAGGGTATGTTTGAGAAGTGTCCTGCAAAGAAAGGTTCTGCCATAATTATTTTGGCTGCCCACACTGGGGGTAGGCTCAAATAAAATAATATATAGCACTACACCTTACAAACTGCCAGCAGATAGCATGACAGATCTTGAGTCCTACCTGCTTATTGCATTATTTTTTACATCTGTGTGACACTGTGTGGAAGTCCAGAGATCTGAAGTGTTACACTTGCCTGAGCACAGAAATCAAATCATAAAAGAACCACTGCTTGCACTATAGCAATATAGGCATATCAGTATGTTTCCTGAGTGTCAGAATTAGTGGTATTATCATATTTATCTGTATTCTGAGCATAATTTGGGAATATATTTAATTAAACAGTATGCCACCTAACCTAAAGTAAACCAATGTTTTATTAAACTAACTGGAATTAAGTTGCTCCATTTAAAGTGTTTCTAATTTAAAAGGTTCATTTTAGAAAGACTCTTCAAAACTGAGCTAATTAACTGGGATTGCCTATTTGAATACTGTACAAAATATATGAAATTTTTCCAAAATATGTTAAAAATAATTGAACCAGCTGTGAAAAAAAAAAAAAGTTTTGCTATGATTGCTCATGCAGAATATTCTTTTGGTAAAATGATTTTATAAATTATTTTAATCTATCAGTCTTTCATATACTTAAAATTATATGCTCATCTAATTCTAAAACCAAAAGTTGATATTTATTACTGAACTGTGATTCTTACTCAAAAAAACCTAAACCAAACAAACACAAAAAATTAAAAAACAAACCTTTTTTTCCTCAAATGTTTCATTGTTTTTATAACTGGATTAATATTTTAGAAAGCTTTCTTAAAATACCCCTTAAATTAATTAGCTTGTTTTTACTTTTATGAATCCTAGCTGTAAACCTATTTAAGATAAGAAGTAACTATTTTAACATTTTAATCTGATTTACCTTTAATCTTGAAATTGTAATGCCTGGGCTTATAGAGGGGAGACAAGTGCACAACTGAACCAGAAGGGTTCAGTTCAGGTGAGGCTGGACTGAAATGGGTTCCCCAGGGAAGTTTGGAAGGACCAGTAAGGGCTGGTAGAGCCCTCATGGCCCTGACAGTATCCTTCTGTAATATTTTAGTTTTTACCATATTGACATTATTAAAGTTCTGTGTAACTGTAAGAATGTTCTTACATTGTTGGGTCTTGTTATCTCCAGTATAATTTTTGAAATGGCATCACAAATCATTGTAAACTGAAATTTGCATCAAGAGAGTAACAGGTCTGGTCATGGAGAGAGAAAATTATCCAGTGTTTTTATGCTTCAGATATGTTTGTATTCCTATGTGTGATATTCATTGCACTTTATAAACATCAGTAATTCCACATATTTCAAATAAGTCTACTCTGAATGTCTAGCTCCTCTGAGTAGACTATTTATGAATTCCTTGAACCTCTGTCTTTAGGCACTTCCTGCATAAAATAAAGTACAGGTAAACAATGTAATTGTTTACAATTACAATGTAATTGTAAACATTACAACATCATTACTAGATGAAATGCTGGACTGCTTAAAATGATAGAAGTTTTGCCACTGTGTTTTCTTTGGTCCAGTATTTAAACTTGATGATCTGTATTTGTCATCCAGAAAATGAGGAATATAGATTTAAGTTCCTAACTTCTTCAGCCTTCTTTTTATTTTTTATATAAGACAAGAAAAAAAGAAGAAAGAAGGCCTGGATCACCTAACTTTTTATAATCCTCTGTTTCAGAATTCCTGTATTACAGATATCCGAGGTTATTTTTTTTAAATTAGAACCTGGGAGGCAAGTCTTAGCCTGAGGTTTAAGTATTTTTCTGTGGTGAAAGAAAAGAAGCCTTCATTCAGACTGTGATCAGTTTATGTGAGCCTAAGTGTCCAAACCTTTCCTGAACAGGCAAAACTAGGCATGGCTGTATCCCTTGCCAATGATAAGGTTATTCTGAGTGAGAAGACTTTTAACCAAAAAGTTAACTTTTAACTTTTTTTAACTGAGTGAGAAGACTTTTAACACAAAAGTGAAAAGGGCTCCTTTAAAAACCTTTGGCCTTGCAGATGCCTATTAGGACAACTACCTTTCCCAGACCAGCAGTTGCCTGGACTAATGATTTTCAAAAGACCATAAGGAAAGTGGAAATCAAGTGGTGAAATAAAGGTCGTTAACAGCTGCTTTTGTTGCTAGAAGCTCCCTTGATTGCATCCCATGTTCATCTCAAACTAGTAAGATTGAACACAATGTCTCACTGATAATTATATCTTTTTATCTGGGAAGATGGACAAGCCAAACAGTCGCATTCATCTGCCAGAATCTGTGAAGCAGAGCTAATTGGCAGGATGCTAGAGAGGTCATAGCATAGTCCAGTGAGAGATTAAATACACCTGAACTCCTTGAAATTAGCTCAGAGTCACTTAAGGCTTCCCAGGGAACCGATTATCATTTAAAGTTAATAATCATAGTGAAAACAACTGGAAGAATGCTTCTTGTACATTCTGGATACAAAGGAAAGGACTGTAAAGCACAAAGAAAATTTTAGAGAAATTATACATCATTCAGATAAAAATAAATCTTTATCTATGTCTCTTTGTGTCATTTCCTTCTTATCTAAAAAGCTTTTAAGAACAGCAAGAACCACTATATTAAGAGATGCAAATGCGAGGTCTCTTTAACTTTTACATGCTTAATCCAGGGATGACCAATAATGGATGCCCAGGAAGAATCTATGAATATAACAAGTATATAATAAATTTTTCAAATATCTTCCTAGCCTTTAGTCATTCCTACCTAAGGCACATCCCCAGCTGTTTCTGTCAGATGTCTTTATGCTGTTGGATAAACCTATGTAAGCCTACTGAGAGCTAGCAAACTGCCAGAAGCGATGAGGTACCCATGGTCTCTCTGCAAGCTTCAGGGAAAGAGCTGTGTGGTATCAGGTGATTTCAGGGAGAACAGTGCCTCTCTGCAGCAGCAGTCACAATCCTACTTTTCTCCTTCTCTCATGAACTCACCCCACTCCAGTGCGAGCATGATTAGTGAGCTTGCACTTTTTTTTTAGGCTGTTTTTCTTGGCTCTCTGTTGAAGCTTTTCCCCTTTCCTGTGCATCTGTGCTTCCCCTATAGGAGTGCATCTGGCTCCTCATTCTTCAAGAAGCAAAAATTATTTTTTGGATTGTTTATGCTGGCTTTGTGCACAGGATAAACTTACACCTATATACGCAAACATTTTTCAAAAGCTCAAATCTAGCTGGATGCTGAAAGCCACATAGACATCCTGCCAACTGACTCCAAAATTGTTAAGACTGTATTTAGCATAAAGTGTTTGTCTCCTTGCTGTATCAGTTTGATCCCTAATAGTACCTGTAAGGTACTAATAGCAGTGGATCAGGGCTCTCTAAGATCTCACCTTCCAGTGCTCTCATTGTTTTTTTGGAGAGTAACAATTCTCTTTATCTTCAAAGAAACACATATCTGTGTTTGTAATGTTTTAGTAAGTGCAATGCAAATATTATACATTGTGCAGATAATAGGATAATACAATACAGTGTTGGTTAGATAGTTAGAAAAGTATAGGTTAACAGTATATGGGAAAGGCTAGTGGAACAGGTTTGCATTAGGGAACCTTGTAATATTAACAGGTAATTAAAACCCAAATTAAAGAACTTAAGTTCAAATCTGATTTTTGAAGCAGGGATTGTATGCACAAAAATTTCAAGTTTAAAATAGTATTTTTTGTATTCTTTAATATAAAAATTTGACTTGTAAAATATTTAATGAAATTAAAAAGGGCTGTTATAATTGACACAAATGTTCTCTCAGCATGCATTTTAATACTATGTTCTAATTTCATTTTACCTCAATTGTTTGTTCTCTCATTTATTGTCTCATCCTTATTTCCCAGGATAGCCCACTGGTCTTACAGTCTGACAGAAATGTAACAGTGAATGCAAGAAATCACATGGGACAGTTAACTGGACAACTGACAGTAGGTGAGTGTTCTTTATTGACTGTTATGTTTATCACTTTACCTTTATCAATAGGTTTCATTTATCACTATCACTTATAAAATATTACTGAAAAGTCAGGAAAAAAATCTCATCATAATGCTCAAAAACGGTTGCATACAATGGACCATAAAAGCATGATTTCGCATTAGCTCAAGGAAGAAAAACTAGAAATGCATCAAAATAGCTAAGAATGAAAACAGCTTAATGAAAAATTATTATTTTTGAGGCCATTGTAACAAAACAAACTAAAAAGCCTCAGCAAAATATGTTTTAACAACACTTTCAGTTGGAAAATAGCCATCACTTTCCTACACTTTCTGTCAGTCTTGATTTGGCCCTGTCACTTTTGTAAGGCATTTGTATCAGCACATATTCAAAGAGTAACACTTAAAAATCAGAATTAAAAAAAAAAAAAAANAAAAAAAAAAAAAAACAAAACACAAAAGAAACCCCAAAAAAAAATGCTTTCCAAGGCACTAAAAAAAAAAAAAAAAAAGCTATCATACTGCCAGTCAAAAAAAAAAACATATTTTACAAAGAAAAAAATAACACAGTTCCAAATGAAATGGATATAAAAGAATCCTCTACTTATCTGTTTCACTTAGCATGTATTTCGCATTTTATGAAATTTATTGTGTTATACTTTGCTTTTAGTATGAATCATACTTCTTTTGTTAATAAATAGGAAGTAATATTTTTTATATTTTCTGAACTAGAAGAGTACGGATATTAATTTATTTTTAAAAATATTGGTCAAAAAATTTACTGAAAAGGTGATGTATTAGTTTTGCTACAAAACAATATATATTGACTGGGAATGGGATAAAAAATATAAAATACATTTGTAAGACCTTAGTATATAAAATTCAAGGAGACATCCCTTAGACTCCATGTGTTTTCATTTTTTTCATTTTCCTTCTGGATTAAGATGTGTTTTGTGCACTGTTTTTTCCTCATGTGCTGAGGTTATGCCCACAAATAGTTTTAAGTTAAACTCTAGTTGCAACCTATAGTAAATTTTCATACTGACTGGAGACAGTGGCTTCTAGTTGTAAAAACATTTTCCAAGTGCACACAGTGACACACCATCTGCACTGATTTCCCTGAGTGACCACATCGAATGAGCGTGCAAAGGTAACCAGACTTGCTAGCAGGTACAGATGAGGAAAATTAAGCTAACACCTGTCCTGAGCATATTGTACTTGCCCAATGCAATTACAAAATGCAGTTCTCTATCATCTGGTAACTCTATTGTTAAAACCTCTACTTCAGCTGGTAACTGCAAAAAGGTGAGTTGCCCATGGCAGACATTCACATTGGCTGAAATAGATAGAATATTTTTATCACTGACACTATTCTGGCTGAGTGAATCCAGCACTGAAAATGTGTGTGAGTGTATTGAGAGTGATCTACTTAAAGGCAACACACTAGAGGTTAATATTCTAAAAATATGAAGGTCTGAAAAAAACATGTGTTTTTATGTTACCATCATTGTGGTGAACACCTTAAGCTTCTTGGTGTTCTTGGATAGCTGGTGCTCTCTGGAGACTAGAAGCTTGTTAAACTGCAGTATTGTATTTACATTATTTCTTAATCTATCTTCCTCTTTGTTTCATATATGGCCTTTGTTATTTCTTATATTGGTAAAAAATATTTTTCTTTTTTTTGGTGAATCCCCTGTACAGTATTGGGTGCATGTTAAAATACTCCTTATCTCTTATTTAATACTTCTTACTTAGTAAAGACAGTCACAACTGCCAGTAGAATCAGTATTTTCTACTCTTAAGAAATCAAAGAAATTAACAGGAACCTAAAAGTAAAAATATTAATTATTTTTTAAATTTTAAATTAAGGCACTCCCTTCTAATTTTTTTTGTTTTAAAAGACAGAACAGAGACAATTTTTTACTTTTTCCTAGGTAAAAGCATGGACACATCTGCTGAAAGAATGGGAGGGGGCTTTTCTATGCAGAATTTGCTGAGAAAATAAAATATTTTTTTTCTCTTAGTTGTAAATATGCCCCAGAAAGTCCTTGTCTTTAAAAATGCTCTGTGTCAATTCACTAGTGATGTGTGCTGAAGCAGATGTTTGTGTGACTGCCCAATGAAAGGAATGAAAATAAACAGTGAGGAAAAGTGTTTTGAACAACAACAAAAAAGCAAATTATCATATCTTGGGGGAAAGAAATTTTCTTGTTAAAACTTTGAAATGTCATTATCTGTTCTTTCTTTAAAGAGTTGAATAATAATCATTAAAAAAATAGACTAAAAATTAATATTCATGGCAAGAGCATTCCACAAAGAAAGAAGAATGCCAGTGCATTCAAAAGGATGATAATGCACTTTTTATACATGTGATATCATTGGCATTTTATCCACATTTCACAGGACTGAAGTGATACTACAAGCCAGCAAATAGGCTGGTCTCATCCTGTGTTTGGCAGGCAAATTTCTGCTCATGCCAACTAAAAATTCTTTCTGTGATGTTTGAAACCATGCCATGTAAGTCTAAGACAGCCGTAAGAGCATATAATTAGAACTGTAATGGGAAGATGGATTAGTGTAAAAAAGCGTTATTGTTATTGGGCTGGGAGGAAGAAGGGTATATGTTCACTCAGGGAGATGGAAAAAAATCCAGTGAACCTCTTAACGGGTATTCAGTTCTGGAAGTGACAAAATATGTCATTAAAATGCATCATTAAGACATCTTGGGAAACATCCTAACCTAGGAGGAGTAAAGAAAAAGTATATTAAATATTTTTTTTTAAAAGTATCTAAGTATATTGGATGATTGAGTGGTTGTATATTTAAATAGTATAAATTCAAGTTATGCTTCAGGTCATACAAGACCAAGGGTACACCCATTATTGCAGTACGGTATTTTTTATACTGGTGCCAAAATCTGTAGAGAGAGAAAGTCACAGCTGTAGCAATGCTTTCTGTTGGGCTCTGTACCAGCTGAGCAAGAAACATTGGTTTGTACTCCAGTCTATTCATGACATATGGTCTGGAAACTGCCAAGTTTGTGTCTGGATCTCCAAGAGGACTCCACAGCCTTCAGTTTTTAGACATGTCATTTAAACCCAATGGAGCAGATGTAGCATAAACATGCTACATGCTACATACTATATGTGCAAAATAAAGATGACAAGATGACAATCCATTGAATTTTTCTGGATAAGTTGTCAGATCTCTCTATTTACTAATACTTCTGCATTGTGCATTCCACAGAATTACCTTTACACAACCTTTTTTCTCTGTTTAATCAATGTTTTCACAGTTCATATGGAAAATTATTCTTTTTTTCCTATTGATCTTAGAAATGCACATTAGTTGCTCACCTTGAGCCACAAGTCTTTTGTCTCCATGCTGTCTGCATATATCTTAGATACCTCTGCCTGCCTTTGAGTGGAGTATGTTAGGCTCACAAGCACTAATAAAATTTAACATGACATTTGAAACTGAAGTGCACATTTGTAATTAATGTAAATTCATCCTCATGTTGGATTATTATTTCAGCTTTTTTTTTTTTTTTTTGGTAAGGGGTTTTTTTTTTTTTTTTTTTTTTTTACTGCAATAATTATTTCTGACAGATATTTCTGCTACTGTTTGACCCTTTTCTATTCATAAAGAACTCTAAGGATATCTGAAATGTGCAAAAAAAAGCATTTAATTTCTGCTAAGCTTTGAGCCCTCAGACAGAATCATAACTCTCACAGACATCCAGGCCTATATAAGTCACAGCTTTAGAGAGCTCCTGAACCTGTCTCTCTAGTCACTGAGATCTTCAGAGACATGCAAATTCAGAAAAAAATATTTGAATACCAAAATTATATCACATTCTTGCAGCTACTTTTTGAAGATAGCAGGCAGATGTATGATTTTCTATTACAGCGCTGCTGAAGACTGATAACACTGCTAAAAGATATACTCAAACAACTTCTCAAGCTTGGAGATCCTTTCCATACATTTACCACAAAACTTGTCTTGTGTCTTCTGATATATTTTTCTTTAAAATTTGTTTGCTTTCTTGTGGTGTTCCATCAAGAGTACTTGGTTTATTGTGCAGAAACTGCTGGACATTGGAAGCTGCAGGTATGTAACTTTGTAGGAATGGGAGTCTCCTTTGTCATCCATACCTATATCATATATGGCAGTTTCCTATGCTTATATCAAGTGATACCTTACAGGTAACACATCCTGCTACCCCTTTACTTCTGAGGTACTCAAGGTAACTCATCACTTCCGTGCCACTTCTGATGTTCCCTTTGCAACATTTAGATATCAACGAAGAGATGAAGCAAGATACATTTGTTCAAGTATTCTTGCTTTTAGAATTATCTGTGGGAGTAACAAAATGTTATAATGTATTCTTACTCTGTGGGGGTACTAACAATAGTAATAAGGTACATGTACAAATATGTGTATACATGTTGCTCTAAATATTTGGTATTATTGTGAAACATTTACTTAAGATTTTTATGAACTTGAGCTAAGTATCCATTAATAACATCCTTAATGAGACAAGAATTGTTTCTTATTTGCATGCACTGTAGACTCAAATGTAAGGTCTTTTCTCCAAAGTATTTCAAGGATGGTTTTAGAATGATCATAAACATACACCCTTTCCTCACTGTTGGAAAAGGGAGAAAATGGTCTCAGCTCTTCTCTCATCTGCATAATTGTTCTTGTATCATCTGTGGTAGGGTGCTGGGAGGGAAGGGATGAGTTGGTTCACAATCCCTCATCAGTTTCTGCCCTGGGCAAACATGCATTAGAACTTGAAAAGAATATGTGAAAGAAAGCTCCTTCTGCTTACAAAGAGGTTTGGCTACCTGTCATTCCAAACTACATTGAGATTTCCAAAATCTGAAATACATTAAACATTATGCTAGTCTAATTTCCATATTAAAGCAATTGCTCTTGTAACCCCTGTAGTACAGTAGAATATTTATTAATACTAAGAAGATATGCAAAACAAAG